TACTATTACTACGACTACTACTACCACCACTAATACTATTACTACGACTACTACTACTCCTACTACTACTACTACTACTACTACTACTACTACTACTACTATTTCGACAATTACGGCTGCTCCGACTATTACCATTACGCTTACGACGGCTACTAGTGTTACTACTACTACTCCTACTACGAGAATTACTACCACCATTCTTAGTTTATTATTCACATACCTACCACTACTAGTACTACTACTACTACTACTACTACTACTACTACTATTACTACTACTACTACGACTACTACTACCACTCCTACTACTCCGACAACTACTACCACTACTACTACGACGGCTACTACTCTTACTGCCACTACTACTACTACTACTACGACGACGACGCTTACTACTAGTATCATTGTTACTACTCTTGCTATCACTCTTGCTACGACTACGACCACTACTCCTACTACTAATAGTAATACTATGACTACTACTACGGTTACTACTTCTACTACTACTACTACTACTACTACTACTACTACTACTACTACTACTACTGCTACTACTGCTACTACGGCTACTACTACGACTACTACTACTACTACTACTACGACTACTACTACTACTACGGCTACTACGGCTACGACTACTACTACTACTACAACTACTACTACTACTACTACTACTACTACTACTACTACCACTACTACTACTACTACTACTATTGCTACTACTACTATTACTACTACTACTACTACTACTACTAATACTACTACTACGACTACTACTAGTACTTCGACTACCACGACGACCATTACTGCTACACTACCACCTACGACGACGACAACGCATTACTACTACTACTACTACTACTACTACTACTACTACTACTACTGCGACTACTACCACGGCTATTATTAATAATACCGTTACTACTACTGCTACTTCTACGACTCGTACTACTAGCACTCGACTACCATTGCTACTGTTTCTATTGCCATTACTCCCCTTTCACCCGGCCCGAGAGGCAGCGGGCCTCAAGCCCCCGCCGCGACTCAAGCCCCCGCCGCGACTGAGATACTCGCGGTGGGGCGATGAGGCCGCGCCATATTGAGAGCCGACGGCAGTGGCCAGGCCGTGGCCGCGCCATTGGGGATATTGACTGGGGGACCCGGGTTCGGGGGTTGAGGGGAGGGTACGGTTCTGACTGGCCCCCCCCTTAGCCAGCCGAACCTCTCCTTTCTTACAGCCAATCAAGGGGGGCAGGCTATCCGCACAGCTCGGCATATGCCTGCTCCCCTATTACGACTACCACTACTACTACGACGACTACTACTACTACTACTACTCAACGAATTCGAAAACGAATACGACGACTACAGGTACGACTACGACTAGTACTACGATTACTGTTACCATTACGCGTAGTACTACCACTATTTCTACTATTACTACTACTATGACTACTACTACTTTTACTACTTTTACTTTTACTTTTACTACTACTACTACTACTACTACTACTACTACTACTACTACTACTACCACTACTACGACTACTACGACTACTACTGCTACAACTGCCACTACTATTACGGCTACGACCACTACTGCGACGGTTTCTCGTATCACCACTAGTACCATTGCGTACGGCTGCTACTACTGCTACTAGTAATACGACTACTACTACTACTACTACTACTACTACTATTACTATTACTACTATTATTACTACTACTACTACTACTACTACTACTACTACTACTACTACTACTACTACTACTACTCTTACTACTACTACTACTACTACTACTACTACTACTATTATTGTTACTGCTAATGCTACTACTACTTCTATTTCTACTGCTGCTACGAGTATAGGATTATACTTCTTCTTCTTCTTCTTACTACTACTACTACTACTACTACTACGACTACGACTACTACTACTACTACGGCTACTACTACTACTACTACTACTACTACTACTATCACGGCTATCACTCGCACTACGATTACAACCACTACTACTACTACTACTACTACTACTTCTACTACTACTACTATTACTACTACCACTACTACTTCTACTACGACTACTACTACTACTACTACTACTACTACTCCTACTAGTACTAGTGCGACGATTACAACTACGACTACGACTATTACTATTTCTTTTATTATTACTACTAGTGCTACTACTACTATTATTTCTACTACTACTACTACTACTACTACTGCTGCTAATAGTACTACTACGACTGCTGGTTTAAATTCTACGACCATTACTGATTCTGCAACTACCACTATGATTATTACTACTATTAATACTACGTCTACGACTACTACTACTACCGCTACTGGTGGTACAAGTGAAAGCCGCTTTGCTACCATTAAAAGGCGTCCGGCTACCATTCCTACTCTTACTACGACTAATACTATCATTTATCCGCCTTCTGTTTTTAATACTACTACGACCTACTACGACTACTACTACTACTACTACTAT